GATGCAAAGTGAAATGAGTAGAACCAGAAGAACACTGTACACAGCAATAGCAATGTTGTATGTTGATCAACTGAACATGACTTAGTTATTCTCAGTCATACAATGATCTATGAAAATTCTGAAGAACTTATGATGAAAAATGCTATCTATCTCCAGAGAACTGATGGAGTCTGAACATAGATCAAAGCATCCTTTTTTCTCTTGGCTGTGTGTATGTGTGTGTGTGTGTGTGAGGGTGTGTATGTTTCCTTTTACAACACAACTAGTATGGAAATATGTTTTGCATGACCTCTTATGTATAACCGATATCAAATTGCTTGCCTTCTCAATGTGGGGGGCAGAGAGGGATAGAATTTGGAACTCAATTTTTTTTTTTTTTTTTTTTGCTGAAGCAATCAGGATTAAGTGACTTGCACAGGATCACACAACTAGTAAGTGTTAAGTGTCTGAGGCTGGATTTGAACTCAGGTCCTCCTGACTCAAAGGCCAGAGCTCTATTCACTGCACCACCTAGCTGCCCCAGAAAGCAAAATTTTAAAAAACAAAGGTTAATCATTGTCACATATAATTGGGAAAAAATAAAATATTAATTAGAGAAAGAGAGAGAGAGGGAGAGAGAGAGAGAGAGCTCCCAACCTGAATCTTTGCTTTTTATTCTGGATGCATCTCTTTTGTTGAACAAAAACTATTCATTTTTCTATGATCAAATTATTTTGCAATTTCTTCTATTTGTTAAAAAGAATTTTTTAGCCTCTTTAAAGCTGGGAGAGCTATTATTCCATTATCTGATTGTTTGAGATTTAAAAAAAAATATTTGCTTTAGATGGAATTTATTGTCTTATGCTCTGAAATTTGACTAAATTTTATTTTTCCAACACACTGCTGTCTAACTCTTCCAACTAATTTTGATTGAATAAAGAATTTCTTCCCTAAAGTTTTGTGAACGCAAATCTATGAAACATTAATATCTTTTACACATTTGATTCTAGTTCAAAGTAATCAGATCTCTTCTACTGATCTGCTGTTCTGGTCTTTCAATCAAATGGTCAAATGGATTTGTAATCTCAACAATTTGGACACAGATTGATGCAGATGGCCGTCATTCATCTCTCCTTCCCTCCTTATCAATCTTATCTGACTCTTGTCCAAGTACTCCCATAAGTTGACAAGAAGCCTACCTAATGTGCTGGAAGTTTTCTTCATTTCCCCTGATATCACAAGAATATTAGTGGAGTTCTTGGGATGAAACCCTCTCATCCTTTGACATGTGGCATAAGGCCTATCTTCTTAAAAATACAATTTTTCTTTATTATAAGCTTGACAGTCATCAACAAATATGAAGGATAGTAAAGAGATAGAAGGGCAGAAAGGATAAAAAAGGCTCCAAAGGATAGAAAAAGAGAATTATTTATGAAATTGTGACCGTTTCACATACAGCTTGTTTTTAAAATATTAAGCAACTAACTTGGTAGTACCAATAATGCTCTGTTTGCCTCTGTCCTCTTATGAACTTCCTTTTGCTCCTTTCTGTGAATTTAAAAAAAAATGCTTCACTGACATTCTTCTTTCTTCTTTTTTTTTTTGAATCACTATAATTACCTCCATTTCTCCTCCCACATTACACTCTTCCAAATAAAAGTCCTGCTTTTAAAGAACCAGGTATAGTAAACAGATTTATGTTGTATTGATTGTAGCTAAAAATTTACACCTTATTCTATACTTCTAGTCCACCACTTTTCTGCCAGTAGGTGAGAAGCATGCTTCATATCAGTGTTCGTAGGGCAGCTAGGTGGTGCAGTGGATAGAGCACCCATCCTGGAGTCAGGAGGACCTGAGTTCAAATCCAGTCTCAGACCAGATACTTGACACTTACTAGCTGTGTGACCCTGGGCTTAACCCCAATTGCAAAAAAAAAAAATAGAGTCCCATATCAGTCTTCTTGAGTCATGATTGGTCATGATATTTATCAGAGTTTGTAAGTCTTTCAAAGTTGTTATCTTTTACAGTGTTGTGGTCAATGTATAAATTGTCCCCTTGGTTCTGTTCAATTCACTTTGCATCAGTTCATGCAAGTCTTTGTAGATTCCTCTGAATCCATCCCTTTTGATGTTTTTCATGGCACAATAATATTCCCTTACATTCACATATAATAATTTGTTTAGCCATTCCCTAGTTGACAGTTAACCCCTTAGTTTATAATACTTTTGGGCCTTACCTTTCTAAAAGACCTAAAACTTAATACAGAATACCTTGAACCTGGGGTAGATTTTAAGACCCATGTGATTTGAGAGGAGAACACAGATATCAATCAGATGTTACCGCTGTGTGAGAAGATTTTTGCTCTTTTGAGGGGTAGTTAGAGGAGGGTATTCCCCAGGGGGATATTTAGGAATCTAGTATACAGGAGTCATTTTAAAAAAAAGCTTGCTGATCAATTGCTCAGGAAGTAGGCATAGTGCTAGTGTGCATGGTATTGGTTATGCATGGCAGTATGGAAAGAGAGGTAGTATTCATGGTGCATGTGTTTCAGTTGAGAATGGTTAAGTACAGAAGTAGAGTATGAGTTTACATATGTTAAGAATGTTCTGTGTTGAGCCTGACTCAGGCGAGTGCCCTGGTAATTTAGATTTGATATTTGAACTAAATGAACTAAGTTGAACTAAGTCATTCAACCATTAAAAAAAGGAGATTTACTCAAGCATAGCAAGAAAAGAACATTCAACAAGGATAGGCATGGAGGACACCCACCAGCCAACCATCAGAATGCCCTGGAGCTTTTTGTGGGTAATAAGGAAATGATATCAATGATTTGAGTCTTTAGCTCCCTGAACCAAACATATCTTGAGGAAAGTGTTGGTACCTTTTTCTTTTTTAAGGCAATGGGGTTAAGTGACTTGACCAGGGTCACATTGCTAGTAAATGTCAAGTCTCTGAGGCCAGATTTGAACTCAGATTCTCCTGACTCCAGGGCTGGTGCTCTATCCACTGCACCACCTAGCTGCCCCTAGCATTGGTACCTTTTAAGGAAAGATTAGCTTTACCTGCACGGGGAGAGGGTTTAGGATATTGTTTCTACCGTAACTTGATAGAGACTCAGTATGGGTGAATGTGGAGGATGAGGGCATGAGCTCTTTGGTAGTTGGGTCGGAGAAGGGCCTGACGGGTGAGAGTTAGATTAAGTAAGGATAGTGACTGCAAAGAGATGGTGTGGTAGAGATCCTTCCCTTACATTGGCACCAAAGCATGTGCACAGGTTTGGAATTATGGCTCGGTTGTTAGTGCTAGCCTCATGTAGCATATATCAATACAGAGCAATGAAGCAACGATGATGGCTTGTCTCCAGATTTCTGATATGGAAGAATTTGCGCAGACAATTGGCTAGGGGTGGATGGGGCTCTGAGTAATTTGATATTGCTTTTTATAGGGTGGGCTAAATCATCTAATTTGATTGTCTGAATTCCAAAATATTGTGCAGAGGAAGATTGTCTCAGTCTGTTGTAGCTGCCTTCTGGGGACTTAAACATTTTCACAGAAGAATCAAGTCAGCCCAAAATGCTAAGAGTAATGGGCCTTGTTTTAGACACATTTCGCCCTCACATAAGGCAAGGCGATTCACTTAATACGACCAGGAGCCTGTAGAATCAGAGAAAGAGCAGGCAATGATAACTCAGGATCATGGTCATTTGGGAGACAGGGACACAAACAGATAACTGGAAGTGTAGAATGTATCTGGAATGTTGGTAGTAGGGAAATCCAGACCTTGAGTGAGATAATCATGAGACCACAGTGGGAGGAGAAGGGGTGTCAATGAGCATGGGAGAGGCAGCCTCTGATGCAAAGGCTCTGCCAGTAGAGGTGGTGTTGAAAGACTCAAATGAGATAATGGATAGAGGTTTGCACTTTGTAAGCCTTAAAACACTCCGTAAAGGGCAGTTATTATTATTGCTGTTATCGTTATAATTTTATTAGCCTACAGTCACCAGATCTCCAATCCGATGATGACTTTATTACCTTAGTCTTCTTCTGCACTTCTCCTGAGCTCTAACAATGTTTATAGAGCAACGATGGCGTGTGCTAGCAAATGTTTATCAACTCTCCCCCAAAAATGTACATACCCACACTTTTAAGTTTAATATGATTTATTGACATTTTGTTCATCACATTCTTTAGTCTAGACTATCAACAAAACAATCAAACAAGTGCTGATTTGTGGTGTTTGCTGATTTTCCAGGTATAAATGCTCACACTGAAAATTTAACCATCAGTTCTCAGGAGCTGGTTTGAGCTGGCTTCACCAGTACATGCTTGGTTTCACATCACATTCACAAAATAGGGAATGTCATATAGTTAAGAATCTGGAAATTTCCAGGAAGGAAGATTCTAGATATGGAGGGTTCAAGAGAAGGGGAAGGTTGAGGATAGCAGGAAGGAGGAGAAGTCTATCTAGAATAGAAGCAGCCTTGCCCTCAAGAATAGCTAAGTTCCTTGTACCAGAGGTTTTTCAGGCTGCCACCAAGGCCGAGCAACTGGACTCATGATTTCATTGGTCAATGGAACTCTGGGGTGAGAAAACACCTATTTCTAGTTCACTTAATACCTTCTCTGAAACTTATAGCCTTTAAGTACAGCTTGGACTTGCTTTGCAATTAAGGGATGTCTCAGTGCCTGAGAGTCTCTGACTTTGCAGGGTCACACAGCCAGGACAAATCAGAAGCAGGTCTTGAAGCTAGGTTTTTCTGACTTTACACTTAGCCCTCTATCCACTAGGCTAAGGTATTTCTAAATTCATAATTGAGTCAAAGGGAGCAAAAGGGTCAATATAATGAAATGCTCTTTATAGCAAACATCTCAGGAATGTACCTGTTTCATAACTAAGCATTATTACTAATCAATTGACCGTGATACAGCATTTTCCCTGTATAGCTCTTCCCATTTCTTCCCCCATTAATCTCTACCCCAAGCAGGCGGCAAGTGAATTAATGACAGACACTAGTCCAGGCTAGGTGCAGCTACAGTTTATTTCATTTGATTGTCATAGACTAGAGTTTATTCTTTCCTTCTTGGAGAGATTTCACATTGCACATCATCCCTCTTCCATACACTCTTTTTCTGGAATGTGAACATAGTACATCCAATGCTTTGAATCTATCCTTGCCTTTCGATATGAACCCAAAATCTCCTTTCTAATTTTCTTACTTTCCTCTTCAATCTAAAACCTGCCCTTAATTACTGTTTTGTGTTGAAATTCTGAATATCTGTTTTGGATGTTTGCTATTTCACAATAATGGAGGAGGGGAAAGGGCCTCACATATTTCTCTGTTACAGTAGTATCTTGATTAGAGTGTCCTTTGTCACTAGCTATCGTCTTTTGAAGACCGATCCTTAGATCAGTTTTGCTAGTACTTAAATTCTAATGAAATGTATACACTGGTAGGACTTTGATGCCTGGGACTCAGAGTAGACTGAGACACTAGCATAACAACTGAACTAGAGGTGGAGGGAAAAGCAGATAGAGACAGACAGAGATGGGAATGACATTTCTCAGGAAGGCTGGATTTCCATCTTTGTTATGGGGAGGAAAACTGTGTCTGGGCAGGAATCCCCTGGCTCTCCTATCTTCAACATGGGTTTGGGGCTTAGAATTATATTTCTCTTTTACACATCAGACATTTGAAGCCTAAGGGTGTGTATGTGTGTGTGTGTGTGTGTGTGTGTGTGTGTGTGTGTGTGTGGTTTTTTGTTTTTTGTTTTTTTTTGGAGGGGGAGAGGAGGTTCTGGATGAAATTACTTTTCCTGGCTACTTTAAGGAGAGAGTAGCTCTGCCCTACCTGGGAAGTTACCCTACCTCGAGGGTAACAGCTTAAGCTTGGCTGGTTTAGCTTTCTCTCCCCAACATATACTTATTACAAAAAAGATTATCATAGGTACTAAGCAAACATATTTATCAAAGTAAGCTAGTAAGACAGTAATCAGGGAAGCTGTACAGATTTGTTGAGTTGATAGGATACTAAAGAGTTGGGGAGTTCTGTGATCTGGGGGTAAGATGATTTTTCAGCTCAACTGGGGAGAAAAATGATCTCACCCAATAAGTCTTCTCTACTCTTTGGGGATATAAGAGCTGAGAATCAAGACATATGTGGAGGTGATGGCTTTTCTACCCACTTTAGAAACTCTCCCATTCTCCATTCAAAGTCTGTGCCTTGCCTTCTCCTATTCTCTTTTTTTCCCCCTTCTCTCTGTCTCTCTCTCCATCTCATATCTCTAGTTCTGTCTCTGTCTCTGTCGTTTCTAAGCCAATCAGGAGTCAGGCCTCCCAACCTGTACATAGCATCACAGGAGTGAGCTTCAGGGTATAGTCAAACCCATCAGGAGGTTATACTAGTGTATTAATCATTTGTTGCTTTATGATTTTGAGAGATTCAAAAACATTAGTCCTACAGTAACAGTAAATAATTAACAGTAAATAATCAGTTAGAATATATGAAAGAGAAGTATAGCTCTATTATCCTTTTCCATTCAGACTGGAAGGAATCCTCTGGTTTAAGTTTTTGGCACATACGAGAGTAAAAATCAGTATAGGTTTTTTCAGATGTCAGTATTCCTCATGAAAAGGATATTCAGGATGATCCTTCAACCTGCCAAAATAATTCAACCAAAGAAAATACTTTTACAATGGAAACTGTACTAATGTTGCATTCCATGGTGACTATTAACTACCACCCTTTTCTCCTACGCACGCTATTCTCTCTTTGCCACCTACTTATTCTCCTTCAGAGGCATTCACCTCTCCACTTACTTACCTGTTGCCACCGACCAGCTCATGTACCCTCTTAGCTTTGAATTCTACCTACAGGGTCTTAGCCAGAAGCTTAAAAGGGAAGTATCAATGTACAATAGTGGTAGGAGCAGCTAGGTGGCATAGTAGATAGAGCACTGGCCCTGGAGTTAAGGACACCTAAATTCAAATCAGGCCTCAGATATTTACTAGCTGTGTGACCTGGGTGAATTACTTAACTCCAATTGCCTCCAAAAAAACCACCAAAAACAAACAAACAAAAACCCATACAGTAGTGGTAGTAGGTAATAGCCACTTAAATGTGTGTCTGTCTTTCTGCCTATTTCCCTTCTCCCAACTCCTCTAAGGTTTTCAAGGACTAAAGTGTTACCTGGCCAGTGTTTAATTTTCCTCCCAACCCAGTATTTTTTTCAACTATTAGCCTCCTTCAGATTTGTTTTGTACATCTGCAACTCCCTGAGCAAACCTTTTTCTTCCTACAAAAATTCCTGGGGAAAGACACAGCATTGGGGATGCTCAGTCACTTTATTTAAGTTATTTAATTACAAATGAATTCTGAAATCTTTTTATTAATCTTTTCTTGCTTCCCCATTGTTCTCACAATGGTTATTTCAAATCTTAATTTTCTTAGGCAAAGTAGGAGATGAAACAGTCTGTGGAAAGTGGTGAGGGTGTGAAATTGGGATCTTAGAAAGAATGGAAAAGATCTAGATCAACTTCTATGGGCAACCTGATTGCATCAACAAAGGATGAATAAATCCTACTTGGCAATAAGGGCTCAGTTGAGCTTGAATAAGGTAAATTTATCTTGGACCCAATGAGTATGATTTGGTCATTTTCTCCTGCAACACGAGGCAGTCTAGGTTTGGGAACTGAGAAGGTAGACAATGGGAATCACAGAGTTCCAAGAACTGGTAAAATAAGTGGCAGAAAATTGAGCAGCCAAAGGGATATTAGCATATGAACAAGGACATTGCTGAAATGTACAACGATTGGGTTTAGTACACATAGAGAGGTAAAATCAGAATGGAGGGGTGATGAATGGGGAGACTAGGAAAGAATCATATAAAGTAAATCATATAAACTGATGAAAGAACTGACTCTTATTTTAACTTTCTTAAGGTTATAGGTAGCAACAAAGAAATCGATAGATTGATTAATTGGGTTATTCAAATGCTTTCCTATAGAAGGAGAAGTAGTATAAATACAGAATCACAAAATCATAGATTTGGAACTGGAAAGAACCTCAGAAGCTACCTGGTCTAATCTCATTTTACAGATGAGGAAACTGAAGTTAGGTGACTAGCCCAAGGTCACACAAGTAGCCAAGTTAAAAAGTGGGATTTCTACCCAAGTCCTATGTCTCTAGTACTTGTGGGCTTTCCACTATATCACATGCTTCCATAGCGAGGCAATAAGCCTAAGGATTCATGATAATTTTTAAAAAATTCATTTAAGTTTTAATTTATGAAATAAAACAAGCATTTCCATAATATAGCATAATAAAAAAGATGATTGCACATGAAACTAAAATTTATTTTGTGCAACTTGCTATTCCTTTTAAATATATAATAGTTATCATGTAAATTTCTTTTTTTTTCTTTCCTCTGCCCTAGAGATGGCTACCATTAGACACAAATATATATATGGATGTATACATATACATCCATATATTCACATATATGAAAAATTATTCTATACATATTTCTATTAATCAATTGTTTTTCTGAATGCAGGTAGCATCTTTCTTCAAATGTCCTTTATAGCTAATTTGGGTATTTATAATAGTCAAAATGACTTATTCAAAGTCAATCTTGAAACAATATTGCTATTACTATATACAATGTTGTCCTGCTCATTTCACTCTTCTTTATTTCCTGCAAGTCTTTCGTGGTTTTCTAAGATCATAGAGCTCATCATTTTTTACAGCACAATAGTATTTCCATCACAATCATATGTCACAACTTGTTCAGCCATTCTCCAATTGATTCATGATAATTTACTAATTTTTAGGTATGGGAACATGCCCTAGTCCCCTTATTTGATCTGTCCAAAAATGCCTCTGAAAAATGGTGTTTTCTGAACCTGAAAGCTATGTAACTATGGAAATATGACCAAGCATGTTCCCAGAGAAGAGATGGAAAAACTCACCATCTTCTTTGAGGAGGTAGAGACTATGGGTGTAGCAAATAGCATACACTATTAAAGTGATATGGTGGTTAGTTTTGCTGGATTGCTTTACCACCCCTTTGCCCCCCCCCCCCAATTTGTTTCTTGTTGTTTTTAAATTTGTTACAAGTAAGAGAGTTTTTTAGGTAGAGCAGAAGAGAAGCATAAATTTGGAAATGAAAGTGATGTAAAAACAGACTACATAAACAGAAAATTTTAAAAAGGAAATGTTTTCTATCTGATTTAGCAGCACAGTATAGTTGAAACACTGACCTGGGAGTTTAGCTGAAGAATTAGAGCTAATTAGCTAAGTGATCTTCAATAAGCCATTTAATTGCTTTTGGTCTCAGTTTCCTCCTCTGTAGAATGAAGGAGTTAAACTGGATGATCTCTAAGGTCTGTTCTAGTTTTGAAATGCTAATATTCTATATTAACAAAAGAAAGGTCTTTAGGGAGCTGATAGTTGAATATTTGTGAACAGAATCAAAGATTAACTATAAAGATTCACCTGAAAGTTTCCTGGGTATTTACAAAACTGTCTTTTCCCCCAAAGGATGAAGCAACTTTGGATGACAAAGGTGAGTATGTATTTTAGACATTGACTCTGTGAAAGAAATAGGTCTCTCTTTAATCAGTTTGGTCTTTTAATTAAAACATTATTTTGAGATTGGGATAGACTGGAGAGAAACCAGAAACAATCTTAATGGTCTAGCAGCCATCAGTGATCTCTTCCAGTCATTACAACTGCTGCTGCTTCTAGTTAACATTTATATAGTGCTTACCATGTGCCAGACACTATTCTAAGAGCTTAAGAATTATTTATTCATTTGATCCACACAACAACTCTGGAAGGTAGGTGCTATTATTATCCCCATTGTACAGATGAGGAAACTGAGGCAAACAGAGGTTAAGTGACTTGCCCAGGGTCACATAGCTACTAAGTGTCTGAGGCCAGATTTGAACTCAGGTCTTTCTGACTCCAGGTCCAGGACTCTATCCACTGTGCCACCTAGAAGTAGGAAGTCTTGACTTATTATTTAAAGGGAGTGCTAACTCATTTCCCTAGTATGTTCCAACCTTATACAAGATATTCGCTCTGTCCATGTCATAAACACTGCAATATCCATAAACCAATGCCATCTATTAGTTTCTGTGCATCAACAACAAATATGTATATTTGTATGAAAATCACCTTACCTATTATATGCATATTATATGTCTGTATTTATATACTGACACAGTTGTTTTCAACTCAATGGTTTGTTGACCGAATTAAAGACTGCTACCTAGGCTTATTTAGCTTAGGAAAGTGATAAAATGTGTTTTTATCCACTTTTTTTTTGCTCCCAAGGCGATTTGGTGGAGTTTTTATTTTGTTTTATTTTTGAAAAAAATTTTTTTTAATGTATAATAGTTTATCAGAAGAAAAACTTCTCCACGACACTTTGGCAAGTTAAAGAAATATTTCCTTAGTCAGCTTTTTCTGATTCAACAGAAAGAGTGGAGCAAGATAGCAAGTAGCTAAGTTGTTTGCATTTTATTAATAACAACTATTTAAACCAATGTATCCAAGATGAGAAGGAAAGCAGAAAACTGGGAACAATTTTATAGACAGTTTCTTGGATAAAGGTATCATTTGTCAAATTTATAAGAATATGAGTCATTCCCCAATTGATACATTGTCAAAGGATATGAATAAGAAGTTTCTTGATGAAGAAATAAAAATTACATATGGTTATATGAAAAAATTCTCTAAATCATTATTAATTCAAGAAATGCAAATTAAAGCAACTTTGAGATATTGTCTCACACCTATCAGATTGGCTAAAATAATAGAAGGGGAAAATGACAAATGTTAGAGGGCATGTGGAAAAATTGGGAAACTAACACACTGTTGGTGGAGCTGTGAATTAATCCAACCATTTTGAAGAGCAATCTGGAATTATGCCCAAAGAGTTATGAAACTGCGTATACCCACTGACCCAGCAATATACTATTAGGTATGTCCCAAGGTGATAAAGGAAAAAGGAAAAGAACCTAGGCATTCTAAAATATTTATAGCAGCTCTCTTTGTGGTGGCAAAGAACTGGAAGTTGAGGGAATTCCCCTCAATGGGGGAATGGCTAAACAACTTGTGATGGAATACTGCTGTTATGTAAGAAATAGTGAGCTGGTTGACTTTAGAAAATACATGGAAAGACTTGCATGAAATAATGAAGAGTGAAAAGAGCAGAACCAAGAAAACATATGCAGTAACAGCAATATTGTTTGAAGAACAACTGTGAATGACTAAGTTATTCTGAGTTTTATAAATATTCAAATCAACTACAAAGGACCTATGAAAGAAGATGCCAGCCACCTCCAGAGAAAGAAATGGTAAATAGAAGTATGCATAGTGTGATTTTACATATATATGTACATATTTGTATGTCTATATTAATCTATCTATCTATCTATCTATCTATCTATCTATCTATCTATCTATCTATCTACCTAACTATGTCTACATATGTATCTGTATCTAATAGTAGACTTCTTGAGTGTGGGGTAGGGATGGATGGAGGGAGATAGTTTAGAACTTAATATGTAACAAAAATAAATAAAATTTTAAAAATTAATAATAATCATTTACATACCTCATTTGAAAAGAAGAGCTGAAGATAGTCAAAC